GGTCTGATTAACTGCCCGGTGGCCGAGTGGGTAGCATGCTTGTGTTCTGCTCATGAGGTCCCGGGTTCGATCCCCAATTAAGTCGATGAATTCGCACGGCTTATAAGACCCAACGAGGTCGAAACAGCTGTTCAGTGCTTCCTAGCTTTTCAGTTCATGCTTCATTTACCATATACACGGCGAATTTCACCTTTAAAAATAGAAGAATTGATGCTACAGTAATACGAGAATCCAAGGAACCGATGGCCAGCACTTCAGCCATTGAGAACCTAACGTAAAAGTAGAATATGCCTTTATTCGTTAAATATGAGGATACGATGCTTCCCGGTTGCTCAAATGGGAAAGGAGGTTTAACTTGATGGACCCCATCTCGAGCCTTCAATTCCTTCGTCCATGTAGCATTTTCGCTTCTCAGGGACATTTTTTCGTAGGAATCTTGTGTTTTGCATTAGCTTTTCGCCTTTTCTGCAAGCGTTTAAACGTCGGAATGCTCCTTACCTTCCAAGCTCTTCGATTAGGAAGCTGTATGCTAGAATGAGTGTATGGAGCTTTAAAACTAGGTGGATTTTTTCCCCGAAAGTCAATTTTGCAACAAAGTTTGTCTGCCTTCAGGAGTTGATCCATAAACAAGCGTTTGTAGAAATGATATGCGTCATCTAAAACATGCATATTTTTCTGTAATGTTTTCGGAACATACCGAAAATTCAGTGCCTGTGTTCTCGAATTACGGTTTGTCTGTTCTGATGTTAACATGTTATCCTAATTTCATCGTAGTTATTTGGAGTTGTTGTGTGTCGACATCGAATGAAATTATCCATCTCGAATGGTATTCGTATGTATATATTACAATAAGAATCATATGGATAACTGGAAAAACATTCCCTGGAAGCACAACCGATTATTTGGTTCTTGCCTCTCGTTAGGCATGTGGTAATCTTTTATCACTGCGGTCATAGACTCATACCCGGGAAGTGTATTTTCGACACAAATATCTCATTTACAACATCGGATATATTCATTTGGTCAGCTGTTTCACAACCAGTGTATTGTAAAATATTCTATAAAGATGCACAAGTCACGTTTGTTACGGTTAGTAGCATATAACTCACCCACAAACTTCGAATCATGTTACTGGACTGGCTCTGATGGGTCTATCTGAACAAATTTACCTGGTATTGCAAATGAGATATTTGTAATGACTATGTATGCATGAAATACAGCAGAGCACATGAACCGGTAGTAGTATATCAAGGTCATGCCATCACGATTTCGGTAGATACTTTCTATCTCTGGGACTTATCTATCTCCCTCACTACGCTAAAGTTTCATCTTTTTAACAGAAAAACATCTGTAATGCGTATACGTCTCAAAATAGAATGCATTACAACTTTTGGTCTTTTTTCGATCTTCTCATTGATCAACAGTCGAGAGAAATTAGTTGCAAGTGCCCTTAAGTAGTCCCGGTTCACTCATTTTTCAGTCAAAGCTATCCGAAATCTGAATGGTCATTCACTTGGACCGTACCAAATTCATGCGGGCAAAACAGTCCCGATCGTGGGTGGTGGTGAACAAACCAGAATGGAGGTCAGTAAATTTTATTCTTTTGTGATTGTTCAACGTGTCCGATTCTTTTACGTAGCATGAAGTGTATTACTTTGTGCTTTCGTTTTACTCGCGATCTTTGTGTTCAATTCATAAACTCATCTGGAGCCTGAATATGAAGCAGTTTTTCTGCAGCATGTATAGCCTCTCAATTCGTGACTGCTGTATACTGGCATCTCATCAGTGTAAGTGGAATAATTATGTTCATTTATTTTCTCTGGTATTGGCTCAACGATCTCCCTACTCACCTGGTTGATGCATTGCCCTATTATTTGTTTCTTCCCGTCTCATCTCGTAATAAGCCCACGCATGTACAACTCG